ATGTCACGCAACGCACTGGCACATCCGACGACAATACATAGATTCTGCCTTGTTTTTTTTTTTTTTTTTTTTTTTTTTTTTTTTTAATTTTGTTGAGTAAACTATAAACAAACAATCGCACGATCTTCTTGTACAGTACTCGAGATGGTGCGATTTCCTATACTAAAGATACAATACGCGCGGCAGTGTTCTAAAGCAATTGTATCTTCTGTAATTGACATGCAGACAGTCCACAGAGCAAAGAATTACAATAGTCAAGTTAAGAGCTAACAAAAGCATGTATTAGAGTTTCTGTAGAGTTCTTGTTAAGATGCTTTCTTGTTTTACTTATATTTCTTAGGTGAAAGTTGGCAGATTTGCATAACTTAAATAAGTGTCAAAGATTACGCCCAGACTCCTAGCAGACTGAGCAGGTTTTATTAGCTCATATGACTTAACAGAGTTCAGAACTTGCCCAGCACGAATCTTGAAGGTGAAAACAAGAAGTTCTGCCTGTGATTAGATGGCAGAACAATAAGATTCCTTTGCTCTCGGGAATTGAATTATTTCTCATGTAAAACGACTGTATTGTTCCTGCCATCTAACATGGCTGCCGTCACGTGATGGTGCAAAACCTCTATTCATTTCTGTGAAAGTAGTGAAAAACTAACCTGATGGAATCCCATAAACCTCAGCTCTCATTGTTGGATAGGTACTATAGTCTGTAGGATAGAATCGTATAAATTTTGCCCTAACTGGATTTCTGAGTTTATTTGTTACAATTGCAGCGCGATCTGTGTTTCCAGGAAATTCCTGCAAGTAATATACTCCCTTTTAGTGCATATATCTGTTAATACGTGTTCAAAAACGTTAATCCTTGCAAACATCAATCTACGCAAGGCCACTCTTATCTTGTATGTTACGCATTTAATTTTTCATTGCTCGCTACTTTCCCGGTAATAATTCCAATTCACAAATCTAAAGACACATTTATCTTTGCTCTTTTTACGTATTTACCTTGTCATCTTTATTTTCCTGGTAATAATTCCAGTTCACATTATCCAAGGACACTTTTATCTTGTATCTTGTTACGTATTCATCATTAAGAGCCCCAGCACCTTGAGTAGCCACAGCACACACATACACCACCGGACCAAGGTCTATCTGCAGCCAGTCACCACCAGAGTTTGTTAGTGGTCCCCAGGCGGCTTTACTAAATGTCATAAGTCTTGCAAAGCTTGGTTTATAACGGTCATCATAATATGAACTGGCAGTAAACCTGTGATCTGGTATGATACTAGGGTATGACAAACCAACAAACATGAATGTACAACCTGTGAAAGAAAAATACCAACACTAAATAAGGTATCCTTACTTTATTATGTGCTGGAAATCAAAACACAGATATATATTTAGTGAATTTTACTGTAGGGAAATGGCATAAAAAGATATAACTGGAATTAAAAATCAGTATTGTCATTCTTCATTGAGTAGTTCCAAGTAAAAGTGCGACTCCTTTAGATGTAATAGATCAAATACGAGTGCGAGTGTTTTATCAGGGGACTCCAAATACCCAGAAACTGATGAAAGCACGAGGCCGCACCTCATGCTTTCATCTGTTTCGAGGTATTTGGAGTCCCCTGATAAAACACGAAGCACGAGTTTTCGATCTGGCTTTTTAAACAAATCAATAATGAATGACTTCAAAAAGAGTTTGGCTGTAATTGAGCAGATCAACCTATGAGTAAAACATCAATAAAATATGAAATCAACCCAAATATGTCAAAGAATTCAATATTAGCTTAGTTGGTAATACACTAGAATTTCACGCCAGATAATAGGTTTCCGGATCAAGTCACATGACTTTCCACGATTAAATTAAAATTAAAAATAAGACGGTTAGGCAAATAGTTAAGTAGGTAAATAAACAGGCAAGACAGATAAAAAAGAAGAAAGCAGTGGAGAATAATGAAAAAACTAAGAGAGTGGAGTGAATGAGAAATGACTTTTATGCTAATGAGACCCAAAGTCCATGCCTTTGATATCAGATTAGCATGCAGTGTTGGATCAAGGTATCTAAATATAAGCGTATGCACGTGACCATAACAGAAGCATTAATTGGACAATAAAGTCATGGATTATTAATGGTATTGAGAATGAGATTTACTGCATCATCTTACAAACTCGCTCTGGCAGATAAAGCTGGTGAGCGCCTTGTGTAGCTGGCTGCAAAACACAGGGGCATCAAAGAACTAAGGTCTATCTGCAGCCATTCCCCCGACCAAGTTTCTCTGAGACAAAACACCAAAGTTGGTTCCTTGAGTAGCAGCACACTAGGTGGACAGACCGCCTGTCGCCCGGTAATTCCTGGCATTTCTCGGGATTCGCCTAGCTTGGTGTGCTGCTGTGCTTGGGTCGTAGAATCCGAGCAGGAAACTGTAGTTTGCTGACCTATTGTGTATTAGTAGAATATATATTCACCCAGTTTTTGAACTACCATTTTCAACTACCTTTTTCCCTACAACGCTGGTATTCCTGGCACCCATATTTTTGCATGCAGTATATGGCGGGAATACCTGGTATACATATTTTTGCATAGCATGCGCTAGTATGTGGCGGATATAGGGGTAACGAATCGGTACCCCCTTGCATCTACAGGCATTCCTGGTACCCATAGCATGCAAAGAGGGTACCGATTCGTATGCCCCCTTCGCATCTACGGGTATGCGCAAAGAGAGTCGCGATACACGACTCCCTTGCAAGGGTACCGATTAGTTACCCTTACGCGACTCTCTCGCATATGCTGGTGTATGCGTGCGACTGTTGTTCTTGCTCTGTAGAATCCCTCTATGGTTTGCAGGAGTATTTCTATAGTTTCTTTTCTTTCCAAGCATGTAGATAGCTATGCCTGTAGCTATGTACAAATACATCTATATTTGTATTCGAGACATATATTTTCTATGTTCCAAGCATATCCGAGACATACATTTTCTATATCTACCTGTATATATGGCTACGCCCAAGATACTATCCGAGGACGAAATAGAAAAGTTCCTGGAAGATAGAAAGAATGGCATGGGACTGCAAAAGGTAGCAAGGAAGTATGGTGTGGGGATTCCAAAGATACGTAGGATAGAGAAAGAAAATGGCATGGAAATCGCCATACCTACAAAGGAGCTTTCCATAGAAGATATCCGAAAGCACTTTCTAGAGGTGCAGCATTCCTTTGCTATTGTGTTGGAAGATTTGCAGAATACTCGTGTGGATTTGCTAGCTAGGATAGACAAGCTACAGAAGGTCGGGGAAATGCCAGAGAATGTAGAAGACAATTTATCCTACGATAACCCCAACATACGACAACAAGCTCCCTTTCAAGCATGTTAAGGTGTTGGGATACGAAAAAATGACTATTTGCTCGAAAACTTTTTTTTTTTTTTGAAAATTTAGTAACTTTAAACTTTTGTCTTTCATATGTTTGTGAAACTTCTTGTAATTTTTGATTGGAAAAGCCAAAATTTTGAGACAAATCGAAATCGTGACTTTATCAAGACCGGAAATGTCCCGTTGCTTGCAATAACGTGGAGTCCAAATGCTCCTTTGTCCTTGTAAAAAGATCCTACTTTGCGATCGTCCAGAACAACAGATAATTTGACAAGTGATGACCAAATGGAAGGTTCAAGGTGTTTTGACCAACACCATCGTGGCTCCCTGCAGCTTCCGGCTCCAAGCAAAGAAATGCATTTTTCTCGAATTGTTTTTGCCGCTAAAACCTCAACTTCAAAAAGCTAAAAGTCCCGTGGATTTCATTCGATTTTTCTAAAATTTGGAGAGTTTATAAAGTAACTCATGATCCAAAAAAGGGCGTCTCCGATTTTTGCAATTTAATTTCTTTCCAAAGTTATGACGCTTTTTACTCTAAACAACACTCCAAAAGCAATCACCGAACTTTGATCGAAAATAGCGAGAGATTTAAAACAGATATCCAAAATCTGGGACACCCTTTTTGAGCTTATTATCTCCTGAGTATGTTAAGCCAATTTTCGCAAACATAGCTTAAAATGTACGTGTCCGTTAACGTTTACACTGAGGCATGGTCAAATTTCGCTTCGAGGACAATAATGTGAACAACAATTAAAAAAATCGTATTTTGAAGATATCTTCATAAACTATGTTTACTCAGCTTTCAGAAAATGTATACTTTGTTTGTGTTTTACTATAAATCCAGCGCGTTATTTAAGTTTGCGCGCATAGTGGTCGTAAACGTATCCTAATACCTTAAGGCTTGGTCTTTTAATGGATCGCTGAAAAACTATGTTTCTGCAATAACTCTATTAATATTAAAGCTATGAAAGTGAGTGTAGGGGCTAAAATCATAATTAGGTTTCTTGAAATTTTAAGGATGGTCATGTTGACTTGCGGTGGTCACGTGACCTAAAGGCGAGAAAAATAGAAATTTCAAAATGGGCTGGCGGTTTTTATGTGACTCGAAAATTTTTCAATGTGAAATTGTTAAGTACAATAATCTTAACAATAATCTGTCCGGAAAAGTTGAAAATCATTCTTAGTTAAGGCAAAACGTTTGAATATTCAATATTTTGACTCGGTCACGTGACCTGTTTTGTCAGTCATCCCTTTAGCCAAAAACGAAGGACACCTATTCCGGACAGATTCTTGTTAAGATCAATGTACTTAACAACTTCGAATAAAAATATTTTCGATTCATATTAACTACCGCCAGCCCATTTTGCAATTTCTGTTTTGCTCTCCTTAAGGTCATGTGACCACCGGAAGTCGAAAAGACCATGCTTTAAATTTTAAGAAACCGAAATATCATTTTAGGTCCAAAACTCCATTTCAGAAGCTTAAGCTAAATGTGTTTTTTCAACAAACCGGTAAAATACCAAGCCTTAACATGCTTGAGTTTGTAGGTATGGCGATTTCCATGCCATTTTCTTTCTCTATCCTACGTATCTTTGGAATCCCCACACTATAGTATCTTGAGCGTAGCCATATATACATGTAGATATAGAAAATGTATGTCTCGGATATGCTTGGAACATAGAAAATATATGTCTCGAATACAAATATAGATGTATTTGTACATAGCTACAGGCATAGCTATCTACATGCTTGGAAAGAAAAGAAACTATAGAAATACTCCTGCAAACCATAGAGGGATTCTACAGAGCAAGAACAACAGTCGCACGCATACACCAGCATATGCGAGAGAGTCGCGTATGGGTAACGAATCGGTACCCTTGCAAGGGAGTCGTGTATCGCGACTCTCTTTGCGCATACCCGTAGATGCAAAGGGGGCATACGAATCGGTACCCTCTTTGCATGCTATGGGTACCAGGAATGCCTGTAGATGCAAGGGAGTCGTGTATCGCGACCCCCTTTGCATAGCGCGAAGAATACCCGTAGATGCAAGGGGGTACCGATTCGTTACCCCTATATCCGCCACATACTAGCGCATGCTATGCAAAAATATGTATACCAGGAATTCCCGCCATATACTGCATACAAAAATATGGGTGCCAGGAATACCAGCGTTGTAGGGAAAAAGGTAGTTGAAAATGGTAGTTCAAAAACTGGGTGAATATATATTCTACTAATACACAATAGGTCAGCAAACTACAGTTTCCTGCTCGGATTCTACGACCCAAGCACAGCAGCACACCAAGCTAGGCGAATCCCGCGAAATGCCAGGAATTACCGGGCGACAGGCGGTCTGTCCACCTAGTGTGCTGCTTGAGTTATCAAAAAGTGTTTTGTCTCAGAATATAGCTTTTAAGCATGACGTCATCTATATCCACCAGAACCCGGCGCTGGCTTATCTCTAGGGTTGCGAAAACGTCATATTTAAAGGCTACCAAATGATAAGCCGATTATAGCTTATTGTCTTTTCAATTTGAACACAAGAGAAAAAAGTTGAGAAATGGGAATGAAATAACTTTATTTTTCTGCAAAGATATAGAGTACCTCCATCGTGTTTTATTCCATAGAGTTCTGTTCTCATGCAATTTGTACTCCCAAAATGACTTGTGGGTGCAACACGTATGTACTGACTAACAGTACCGTCATACAAGAGATTCTTGACAGCAGTATTAGAATCGAAGTTACCAGCAAAGGACTATTAAGAAAATGAAATAAATGTTTGGGATAATCAAAGTGTAGGAATATAAGTTACTACCATTATCCGTTGAAATGCGAACCGTTAGGTTTTATGTTTCGTCCGCCAATTAGCATTTGTACCGTCAATCAAAAAACTGTAATATATATAGAAAAACAATATCTGCTTCAGGGAGATTTTAGACTGAATTTAAAGGTTTTAATCCTCAAATCCTCTAAAAACTCTAAAGCCCTTTTCAAAATCTCAAAAGTCAAAACCTCCCTTAATATAAAATATTGTCTATATTCACATTCCATACGTTACTCTCCAAATAAAGTTCACTTAAAACTCATTTGTCTTGTCGTTTATGTGTCGGTAAAGTCATATGGGTTTTCTAATAACGTTTTTCTAGCAATTTTTTAGCTTGTTTACCTTCACTTGGCTGTTTTCCACGTATTTAGTAAAAGTAGACCCATTATTTGATGTGAGCATGTTGTAAGACTGTACCCACTGATCTGTCATGTGGTCACCCTGTGTTGCTATACCACAAATGATGTAAGGCGATCCTAAGTTAATCTGTAAATATGGAGAAGAGTCAATTGTAGCAGCACACCATGATGACCCTGCTGTGTAGTTTAGTCTTCCCTTGGATGGTGACGTGGTGCTGTTGTAAGCTGATGATGACGTCATATTTCTGTCTGGTATCTTACCACTGCCAATACCAACTGGTAGAGAGCTGCACAACAAACCTGTAATAATATTATAAGTTGCAATTAACATATCGAAAATCATGTCAAATTCAGTTAACAAGACCTACCTCTCCCAAGACCATACGCTTCCACACGAAGTACTTTATGCGTATTATACGCTGTAGGTATGAATTTGATGTATCTGAGCAGAACTGGATAATCTAGGACATTCTTTACAACAGTATTACTATCTGTATTACCAGGAAACAACTAGAAGAAAAATAGCAACATCTAAGACATTCTTGACGACAGTATTACTATATGTATTACCAGTAAACAACTAGAAGAAAAATAGCAACATCTAAGACATTCTTGTCAACAGTATTACTATCTGTATTACCAGCAAACAACTAGACGAAAAATAGCAACATCTAAGACATTCTTGAAAAGTTTTTAAAATAAAACTTAAGGTGATTCCAACATAATTGCGAGTGAATTTGGCGATTTTTTAACTCGCTTGTATGGCGTCAAAAATACTCGGATATTTCTGAATTTCGCATATGTAGCAGCACAAACATTTAGGCTTTTAACGGTGTATTCGAAATGTTCTTTTAAGGTACGTTTGCAGTTATGGGCTGATTTTCTATAACAGTGGTTTTTCAAAATATTGTCCAGCTCCTGTTCTCTTAAAAATCGTTCGATGTTATTTAAATCTTTTAAAGATTCTTGGTAAATAGATTGTCATAATTCTGTCTGTCGAGTTCGGACAAAATCTATCGATTACATTATCTTGATGCTCAGTTTTTCGGTCTATTTTGCCGCGCAACTACTTGCAATTGATATATTTTCTCCAAACTCGGCAGACAAAAAAATATATGACAATCTATTTACCAAGAATCTGAAGTTTCGTTGAATTTGGAATTTTCTTTATGGTGTTAATTTGAACACACCCTAAAATCTCCAAGTTATCAAAATTCATCAGTTCAATTTATGTGCCTTAGGATGATATAAAACTTCTAAATTGAGATGTATTTCTGAGTACGACTACTCACAAAAACAGCTAAAATAAAGCGAAAATGTACTTTATTATTTTTAAATAAAACGTAAACCTCCTCCTGTATCCAATTCCTATAAGAAAAAAGGAAGATCTTTATAGAACTGCTATACAACCTGTTAGAGCAAATCGTCCATAACATTCTACATAATTCAGGTGTACCTTAACTTTCCCATCAATTGTGTAATTTGTCCACGTGCTCTCATTAACGGATGTTGATATCTTGTATTGAGTAGTCCATTCAGTGTATCCAGACGAACCTTGTGTAGCCAAAGCACAAATAGCAAACACTTCACCCAAGTCTATCTGTAGATAGTCGTTAGGGTCGATGTTTGTGTTTGGTCCCCATCCCCTCCCTATCACTTCATTCAGACGTGCATTCTTTGCAACATGTCTATTGTCATAAGATGAAGATGCTGTAAAGCTGTCATCTGGTATGATACTACTATCTGCTATACCAACAGGAGAGTCCTGACATCCTGAATTAAATTTTACATACAAAAATAACTTGTTCAGTTTTGAAAGATCCCATGGGTACAACGTTTAACGTGTACAAACGTCTTTTAAAGGTACTACAAGGATAGTCTCATTCATAGGACTGTAAGGAGCCCCTGCCAGGGAGTTTTAGGCAACAAGGGAACATGAGCATTTACGTATACTTTCAGGAAACAAGGGATATCATTAAATAACTTTTTGGGAACAAGGGAACAAATTTGTGAAAAATTATATATTTGAGGAACAAATTGACAAATTTTGTATTTCGCCTTGAATGAGGTGACAAAGAGAAAAACTACTGGGAAACATGGGAACTTTGACCCCCCTGGGAGGGCCTCAGGGAGGTGAAAAATATTTCTAAATTGATTTTTGATCTTGTGGGACATACCAGCGGTAATTAAGGCCACATACACACTGATGCATTAGAGAGTTTTAGATTGACTTTTTTTCTCCCCGCAAACGGCAAACGTGACCACGTTTTTATAGTTTTCGTGTATTTTACTTTACCTTTT